AAACTTTTCATTATAATTAAAATTATTAATTTTTATTAATTATTATAATATAAAATAAATAAAACTTTTATTTATAATTAATTATAATATTTTTTAAATAAATATAATTAATTATTTAAAAAATATAATTAAATATTTAAAAAATAAAAAATTAAATATAATAAATAAAAAAAATTTATTTATATATTTAAAAAATAATAAAAGGTTTTATTTTTTTTAAATTATTAAATAAAAAAATAAAATTTAATTATATATTTAAAACTAAATAAAATAATATATTAATATATTTTTAAAATAATTATTAATTATAATATTAAAATAAATTATTAATTATTTTTAATATTAATTAATAAATAAAAAATTTATATTAATTAATAAATTAAAAAAAAAATTAAAATTATATTTATGTATTAACGTTTTTTATTTTATAAATTTTAAAACTATTATATTTAATTTTAATATTTAATAATTTATTAATTATTTTAATTTATATTTAAATTTATTAATATTTTTTTTAAATTCTTTTATTAGTTTATAATTTTATTTATTATAAATTTAATTATTTATTTATATATATTTTAATTATATTTAATTTATAATTATTTTCTATAATTTAATAATTTAATTTAATAATAGTTTTATATTTATAAAGTTTTTAAAGTATAATTATAATTTTATTTTATTATATTTTAATTTAATTCTTTAAGTTTATATATATATATATATATATATATATATATATATATGTTAAAATATTATTTTAATTTCTTTTTAATAAAAACTTTTAATTTATTTATATTTTTAAATTTTTAAATTTTTTATTATTTATATTTAAAATTTAAATAATATTAATAAATATTATAAGTTTTTTAAACTTAATGTTTTTTTTTAATAAAAAATAATAATTTTTATATTTTATAAGTTTTTTAATTTTATTAATACTTTTTAATTAGTTATAAATATCTTTAAATAAAACGAAGTCTCTAAGCTTATCTTTTAAACGCGTCCTATCCTTAAAACCATAATGCTCTCTTCAGACTCCGTAAAAAGATGTTCCGAGCACTAGGTCTTATCTAAAAGCGACATAGAATCAAGTGTAGAAGAAAGATTGCTAGGAGAAGGACTACTTTGAGTCCAAAGGTCTATCCATCCAGAGGTTACTTCGGTTAGCGATAGGGACGCAAATCTATCATCACGCTAGCCAATGTATTCCTTGGGCAACTTGAAGATTGGCACGTCTTATTCAGTGTTCGCTTTGGCATAAGCGTTTGGGATAACTGCTAAAAGCTTAGTCTTCGTGGTCTTCGAGGACCCAGGGACTGCGATGACGGGTAAATCACCGTAAATACCCTCGAAGTCGTCAGGCACAACAATAGCAAGGTTCGTGACCTGAGCGCCGCCGATGAACACCGAGTTGAATCTCTTCAATAAACCGTAGGTGGTTCCAGACACATACTCAACTGCACCTCCCACAATTCCTCAAGCGTGTTAGCTGATTAGATACATTTGACCTCAGCGGTATTTAGGATGGGGCTTCCTCAGCAGGAATGTACAAGTGGGTTCTTCGAAAGTCATTTTCCCATATTATCCTTCACCATGCTGAAATCCAAATTCCAGTGTCCCATACACTCGCTCCTTCTGGACACGAATTCTAGCATACATATTAGCGCGTAGAGAGACTTCGGGGGCATGGTTAACGGACAGAACTTATCTCTTAGTTTGTTGCCTCCCAGTCTCTCAGCTCATTTTACATCTACAAGTGACATTCATGGGCCTCCTACATATAGTTAAGGCAGCTCGGCGCTGGTACTGACTCGTCCTCCATGAATGAGGGTTGCTGCGCCAAGAACAATATGTAAAATAAAAAAGGGATCGAGAAGGAATCGAAATATGCTTTAAAAAGAGATCAACCAGAAGCTATGTCGTTCCTATTACAGGTGATAGCTAGTCACAAAACGAATCCATCAGTACTAATAAAACCAGTTCACCATAGAAGATGTCTGTTGAAAAAAATCACAGAAACACTATACAACTTGTTACGCTATTACAAAAGTAGTTCTGTGATCAAATTCTCAGAAGCAATTGTAGGTATCTGTTTGCTACTAAAAATAACTACTGTTTGACAGGTATTGAATGATGTCGGACTTTGTGAGATGATCAGTACCTATATGTACGGATAGTTGTCGAAACGAACATACCCCCCAGAGGTCAACCTCCCGGTCTTTGCCCCTGATCATGAACACGAGCTAGACTGAATGTAATAAGGAGATTAGGAATTGGAAAGTCAGGGCATCACTATCGAGTTCCTATTTGTAACCTAATTGTGAGGTCTAGATAAGATACCAACTTTGTATGGACTTAAATATTGATTGTGATAGTGATTTGATGTTTGGGGTGTATGAATCTGAGGTTTCATGTCCAGAAAGCCTTCTATTCTATAAATATTTGAGAAAATGGCAAAAAGCCCCATAGGTGGTATAATCCCTACTACTGAAGTTTCGATAATTGTATGGTCGAACGCTCGAGCTATGGAAGCAAATTTAGTCTATCGTGCCCGTGCATGCTAGACTATATCGACGCTGATTGATCCGCCTTGGGCTCTTGGCTAGTCACGCTAACACCATTGTGCGTCCGTTGGGTAGAAACATCCTTTTCTGGAGCCGATTGGGTCTTGACGCTCTTCCACTCAACGCCAATGGCACCTATCATAGAAATACCGACCAAAACTGTCGCAACTAGATAGGTCCTCGACAGTGCATCATTGTACGCAACCTGGATTTGTCTCAATAGCGAGGGATCATCGGTGAGTTTAATGATATCTGTAGCTCCCGAGCTGATGATCTTGGCTGGATCGATGCCCGATATTCCCTTTACGTTCGATGCGAGACGATTGATGAAGCTGTTTTGAGCTGCACTGATGAAAAGTGCGCCTCCGAAGCTTTGTGCAAATATGGCGATCGAGGTGCCCACAGGTACATCCACAGCCTCCAACACGGTTTGCGCGGCAACAATGTTTTGCTGCAGGCCTAAACCGGTTCCAAATCCAAAAATAAGTTGGTAACCAACGGTTCTGGCAATGGTGGTATCAACAGTCCAGGTGTAAATGAGCCCAGATCCAATAGCACCCAAGGCTGATGCAACGAGCATGAAAGGCGCATAATATCCAAGCTTCGTCGTCCCTATTCCTCCTATCATGGTACCGACAACAGCGGACATAGTCAATGGTAGTGTATTTATTCCAGAGCGGGTGGCTGTCTCTCCACGAATGGCTTGGAACCAAAACGGAACATAGTAGACTATGATGAAGAAAGAAGCGCTGAGACACAAAGTAAATAGACTCGCAAAAGCCATGCTTCGCTGAGTTGCCACTCTCACAGGAATGGTGGCATAATCACCAGCCCATATCTGGATTCCAACGAATGACAATAGTAGCACACCGAAAACAACAAAAAGGGCGATTATCCTGGCGCTGGCCCAAGCATATGTGCTCCCTCCCCACTGAAGAGCCAGCAGGAGGCATATTATACAAGGAATGAAGACAATCGTTCCAAGAGGGTCAAACTGGGCCAACGTATCTCGCCACGGCTTCTTCGCGCCCGACTCAGGGGGGCGTTGTACGTGTACGAAGAAAACAACAGCAAAAGCTGTGATGCCACCAAATGGAAGGTTGATGTAGAAGCACCATCTCCAAGTCGCCAGGTCTGTGAAAACCCCTCCCAAGAGCGGCCCGAGTACGCTAGAAATAGCATAGACAGATGAGACAAGGCTGATATACAATGGCCGCTTCTCCAGCGCAACAGTCAGCCCAATAATGATAAATGCTCCTGAGAAGAGTCCAGAAGCCCCCAGTCCTGCGATGGCACGTCCCACAATCAGGGTCAACGAGTTCGGCGCTATCCCGCAGAGCAGAGAGCCAAGTTCGAAGATGAACAAGCTAAAGAGGAACACCCATTTGGCGTTGAAAATGCTGTAAAGTCGTCCAAAGAATAATTGAGAGGCCGAAAGCGTCAACAAGAATGCGGAACCGTACCAGCCGACATCGTCGACGGCGTGGAACTCATCCGTGATTTTGGGGATGGCAGTGGCAAGGATGGTGTTATCTAGGGCGACGCAGAGAACGGCAAGGGCCATACCAATCACGATTACTGCGAGCTTCCATCCGCTTGGATATGTTGTGGCTTCTTCGTCGTCGGCATTTTCCTCAATTCGCTGCTCATCGTTGTCCTGCTGACTGTCTCGGGGCGCTAATGGGGGTGAAAGAGAAGAAGATGAAGGATTGGGAGTAGAAAGTGCATTCTCGAAAACCTGGATTTGAGAATCTTGGGAGTCTGGTTTTGATTCAAATGGGTAAGATGCTAGAGGAGAGGACGGGTTGTGTTTAGTGCTAGCATAGGAGTGTCTTTGTCCTACTAAGGAGCCCAATTCGATCTCCCCTAAGAGTTTGCTGCCGGGTGCATCATCGTGCAAGGGGTCTGTCATCATGTGATGGGGATGGAAAAAACGAAAGAAATGAACAAAAGATTTTAGAGAGTGAGGTTAGAAGTCAAGCTCATATTGGTTTGGTGAAAAAAGCGCAACAAGGAAACAGACCCCAGGTAGATACGAGTCAAGTAATACGGTTAACCAAAAAGAATTAGTCATAAGAGGATTTTCTCCGAAATTATTTTATCCGCAGTACACCCCACGGGTACATGCCACAAGGATCACAAAAGTTAAGTTAGTTTAAGCTTCGCTTTATTACGTAAGTTATTGTATAAGTTTCTGTAAATACTAATTTATATATAAAATAAGAAAATAATATATAATGAATATAAAATTATAAATTATTATAAAATATATATTAATATAATATATATTATATTATAGGAAAACTGTACTTCTGTTTATTTATATTTTATTAATATTAAAAATATCATATAAATAAATAAGTTAATAATATACTTTTTTGTATTATTGTTTTATATAGGAAATAAATATAGTAACTTAATTTAATACAACTTAGTTTATGTAACACAGAGCTTATACTCTATGTTAAACTAACTTTTGTAATCTTTATTAAATATATCAAAATTAATGGTTATTTATAAATTATTACCAATTTATCATATATACAAACCTTTTAATTACTAGGTATTATTACTAAATAAGGCAAGTACTGTTACTTAAATACTTCGTAAATATACAATTTCCCCAAAATTACAAAAATTGATAGTTGTATAAAATCTATGTTACCATCCGGTCAACCGTAACAGCGATCGGTCCCTTATAAACAGCTGGTTCCGTTATAATAATTGCTATAATTGAAATTATTGGCCTAATCTTTTGCCCTGTTTGGCGGAACGATATAACGGATCATTACAATTTACATTAGTAAACAAGTATATTTTTAGTTATTATAGTAATATATAAAAGAACAGTAGTATCCTATTACTATTTAAAATGTACTTTTTATTGTTTTAAGCGGCTTACTTTTATATTTTTAATATACACACTATATCTGCTGATCTTTACTAAGTATTTTTATAGATATTTACTCTGTAGAAAAATACTAAACTACTAATAATTTAAATACTCATTGGGCATACACTAGGCCTATTAGCTATAACTACGAGTATAACATAGATAAACTCACTTAGATTACGTGTAGGAGACTGTTTTGGTAGGAGCTTTGTACCAAAAGCCGGTATGGGTCATTTATGCTCACATGAACCTGAAACGCCATGTACACTTCGAAAGACTCGGGATCCAAGACTTGAAATTTTTAACTATCTATCTATGCCAATAGCCATGATTGTAGGGCTTATATACTCGTATATGACGGGAAATTTTTATACTCTTTCTGCAGCATATTATACCGTCGCAAGCAATCTAAATATCTTTCAACGAAAGCGTTTGTGCAGTGCTGCTTCAGATCTGCAGTGATGGTTTCTTTCTGTACAGCACTAGCCTCTCTATGCTGATTGATTCCTTCATGCTATGTAATCGATCCATCTTGACTGGCAGCATGAATTCTGCAGAGTGGGATGGACCCACATAGATAATCTATTTTTGCACCCTCTGCACCCCTGGGTCCACTTGATCCTCAGCAGGGGAGGGGGTGGGATTTAAGGATTTACACTAGCTGACCGTGGTTAGTATTGTGGGACATGTCATCCCCAAGGGCACAGACCTGTTCTTGATGGGTGATGGTCCGAGTGTCTTCTCACCAGCATTTGATATTGACGACTCCCTGCGAATGGCCTCTTGTCTTGAAAGTAAAGATAATATTGGAATTGAAATAAAGAAGGCATGGCGAACTTTGATCTGGAGCGATGAATGGTCACTCAACCAAACGGGATCCAGATCTTTGATCAAAATGCTGGACCAATGCTCAAATTTGGCCTGAGAGGGAGAGTGAATGGCGTACATGAAGATGAAGCTAATCACATCTATCTTCTTCTGGGATTTTGAATCCCACAAATGTCCAAACAAGATGAGCAGATACTCAGCTATCGACAAAGTCATCCATACGCCCCAAAGTAACTACAATATCCAACCTGTAAAAATCAACAACCACTCGAGCTAAATAAGAAAAGGCAACTGAGTTACAAATGAACTCTGAAATATTTCTATCTTTTTGAATTAATTAATTTAGATACAATACTGTAAAGATTAAATCTAAGCTAAGTGTAAAGCATTGCTATTAGAAACCTAACTGTTTTTTATTTTATATAATATAATATAATAAGATATACTAAATTATAACAAACTGGTTCTATAGATTAATGTAGGTTAGCTGTTTCAAAAGGATAAACCTCTGGGTTTTAGGTTTATGTTAGTGGAGCAGTTAGATTAAATAGAAACATTATTTTATTAATGTTATATAAATAATAAATATAATAGTTAAGTTTAATTTAATTACTATATTAACAACTGGTTATTTAAGTTATTAAATAAATATAAAAATATAAATTTATATATTTAGTTAACTAAGTTAAATTATTTTAATTTTTAAATAATTTTATATTAAATTATTAAATTATTTTAATAATTTAATAATTTATTTTTAATTAATTAAATAAGTTAACGTTTATTTAAAAACGTTTACTTTATAAATTTATTATTATAATTATAAAAGTTAAATTATAATATAATATTTTTTTTTATTAATTTTATTTTTAAAACTTTATTTATATATATATAAATATTATATTTTTATTTTTAATAAATTATTTTTATTTAATAATTTTATTTTTTATTTTATTTAATTATTAATTTTATATTAATTATATTAAATTATATTTTAAGTTATTTTATTTAAAAATAAAATAATATAAAAGCTTTTTTTATTTTATAATTAAAAACATTTTTACTAATTAATAAAAAATATTAAATAAATTTAATTTAAATATTATTATTTATAATTAACTATTTAAAGTATTTAAAAGATAATATAAATATAAATTTATATATTTAATTATATATTTTAAATTATAATAAAGAACTAATGTTACAACCTAGCTCTTATAGTTGCAATAATGGGCCTATAGGGTAGGCGGAAATAAATTAATTATAGACCGACCAGTTAATTAATGCTATTACTCTTTAAATCTAGGAAAGCTAAGAAAACTAACTTTTTAAAGTAATTTAAAGAAAGCTAAAAAAACTAGCTTTTTATTATAATTTAAAATATATAATTAAATATATAAGTTTATATTTATATTATTTATTTAAATAGCTTAAATAGCTAATTGTAAATAATAACGTTTAAATTAAATTTACTTAATACTTTTTATTAATTAATAATATTATTATTTATATTACTTAAATATTTAACTTAATCTATCCGTTAATATAAACTAAAATTTAAATTTATTTTTTAAAAATCTTAACTTATATTAATCTATAGATTTACAGTTTATTATATATTTATAACTTTTATTTAAATAATTACCTTAAACCCTTAAGTAATAATTAATAAAGAAATTTAAATATTTAATTATAAAATTTTTAATAATAAAATAAATTATAAAAGTAAAACTTAAAGTAAATATTTAAATAATAATATTAAATTTTAAAATAAACTAAATAAAAATAATAAAAATACTATATTTTAAAAATTAACTATTACTTAGCTTATAATAATAATTAAAAAACTTAAAAAAATTATTAAAAAATAATAAAAAATTATTAATAACTTTAAAAATAAAAACTTTATTAAAATAAAATAAAAAGGGGAAATTATAAGGTTAAAATACCTTAAAAAATTTAAAAAGGATTTTAAAAACTTTAAAAAATTCTTTATAATAATTTATATTTACTTTAAATATTTCTTAAAAACCTTAAGGAAATTTAAAAAGGAAATAAAAATTTATTATATTAAATCCTAACTTAATAAAACTGCTAAAAACTAATTTAAATTAATTTAAAAAAATTATTATAATATTAATAAAACTAATTAAAAAAAGTAAATTAAAAAAATCTTTTAATTTTATAAAAGATTTAAAAACTATTTT